GCCTTTTGATAGTGATGGCTGAATGCCGTGCCCCGAACCGTTGCGAATGCTTCCTGCTGTTTACCTTTCATTTGACACTGACAATACGTAAGCATTCTAATCCTTCGACTCTGTGTAACATGAACACATTGGAAGCCTCAAGCTGTGGTGTCTGTCAAGTGAGATGCCAAATCGCAGTTCCATTTGAACACGTTCTTCAGAACACGATAAATAAAGCAAACATAAACATGAAGGGATTGTGCAAAACATCGTATAGATATTGAACTCTGTGATCTTTTCATATATACACTTCCTTATTACAAAGAAGTGTACTGACGAACAAGCGTGTAGCGCTCGGTGGCACTCGTCATGTTTGGTGCTTAGCTCTGTGGCAGTAACGCACAATACTTTCAGCGGACAAATGAGAACATAACTTTGATGATGTGTTACGTGTTAATGTTAACATAATGCAAAAGGGGCAAAGCAACATCATAAATGGCATAAGCAGCGCGGCTAAGTTGACAACGGCGGACAAGAATTTCCCAGACGAAGCCAATAACTTTGCCCACTTCATCTGCGCAGGAGTGCAATCACTATCACTTTAGTATTTTGCCTGTAGTTTTTTTTTTTTCCTCAATGAAAGCATAAAAAATAATCGAAATATTCATGACACAGCTTCAATCGTGAAGAAGCACCATGCGTTTCACTCTAAGGGGCAACTAAATAAGGGTCACTTGAAGTTGAGTTCTCGTAATTGTATCACGCGAAATCGAAATGTCAAAAAACAAAACGAAACGCTGTTGTGCCAATTGCATTCTTCTTGGGTAAAAAAGAGCACATTAAACAAAGGTGAGCACAAACATGATTTTGGTGTAAGCTGAACATGCTACTGCCCACATTTATTAAATAGAAAAAGAATTTCGCCTATGCATTGATAAGCACGAGGTGGTCAATCTGGCTACACATGGTCTAGAAAAGCCAAATGCTTCTCGAATTCGATCCGAATGTGAACGAAGGGTTTGACCTTCTTTCCTTGACTATCGATCGCTCAGCCTTGATTGCAAAAGGGAACACAGTATTGTTGCGACATCTTGGTCACCATGAATGCAATAATGACACGTGTTCCGCTTCTGCGTGCATGATGGAGACACACAAGCATGTGCTTAGTGTGTCCATGCACGGTGTCGTCTGCTCCGCCTGACATAATCAAAATGGTGCCGGTGATGGCCACAGCACCTACTAGATGGCGCTGCTAATTTTGCATAATGTCTATTTAGCAGAACTATCTTTGCGAGAGGTACTAGACAGTAAAGACAGGAAATCATGCTAAGCATGCTAGTCACCCCTGCACGGAATATGAAAGCTGCGAAAATTGCAAAGAGGTGGCATTCAGCAGCATGATGACCACACGGCAGAAGTCGTACAATGCTCACGGCTCCCTGTGTCACAAGCACAAGCTTCTTGGAGCTGTCCAACAATGATGGCTCTGTTTCGGACAGATTTGGAAGCCAACTAGAATAGCCATTCCTCTTCAATGAAGTAGAACATACTTTTTCATTCATGTGCTTGCCTATTTGTACAATATGCCACCATGATGGCACCACTTGTCGAAAATACTCAAGGGTGTGACTGCTGCAATTGGGTTAAATCCTCATGTTAAGAAGTTTTCAGACAACCTAAAGGTTTAGTTATTGTCATAAATGCATAAGTATGTAAAAAGCGGCATTTGACATCCAGTTGACAGGATCCATGAAATTTAGTATAATGCAAGTATGAGCCGCATTTTTCATAACACAAAGCTTGCCAAATGCAAGTAGACTCGGTCACTTAACAGAAAGTGTTTCATTATGGTAAGGTTCATGCATGAGCACTCTTCAACTGGTATGGGATTTCTCTGTGGTAAACACACATCGTTACCTAAAGCATTTTAACATCAAGACAAAGGGTAATTGCCAACTGAGACTATTCAGTGACTGTTAAAGTATTTACATAGGGAACCATCTGTAGCATACAATGCAACACCACTTGCCACCCATCACACATCTATGTACTAGGAACTGAAATTGACACGTATACCAACAAAGAGCTGACCAAAGACACACGATTGTTACCTTGTGAACAGCAGCCACTGCAGCAGCACCTCGCCTCTGTCAGTATCATTACATCATGCTAAATTACATTGCACACAATAAGTTACAATGAGGACAGCAATTTGAGTCAACCATTGATATTAATTTGTAAACAATTTTACACACATGTCCTGCCTTGATTTGGCATAAGTGACAGAAACGTGTAAGTGAACCCTGGGAGTTTTTTTTTTTTTAGATCCACTGACCTCGAAAGATCACCAGAGTTGGCCTTTAAACAACTCCGCCATTACCAGCTGGGCACCGTGCAGCGAATCCTGTGGGCCCTTATATATGATAGGGCAGACCACAATAATAATGCAGGGGTCTATATGAACCAAGTGCAAAAAGGCAACTCCTAATCAGATACGGTGACAATTTGCCCAGACGATTAAGTAGAGTTCAGTTGCTATTATAAATCATCACTTTAAAATAACTGGCGTGACACCATACACATTTCAACCAGCAGGCCAACAACTACCTACGCCAACTGTGGCAACTATAGAAGGTTACAACTTTCGAGGTCAGTGGCATTTCATCCTCGAAAATGGATGCACCAATGGACGTGTACTCAAGACTGAAATCATAATCCGGACGGCCATTGACCCTGTCTGCAGAGAAGGCTGCCGAGGGTAAGAGTGCAACTATTATTTAGTCACTGTGGTGGTTGGCTTCCACGCTTCGGTTGTTTGGGCAGGGCCTCTCCTGGCTTCCGAAGTTGTATCTGACTATAGAGCAGTAGCTGGAATGGAGCCCACCAGTGTTGAGGATCTGATTGCTGCATTGGAAATGTCGCCTGGTACAAATTCTCAGGTTTTATGATGATATGTCGTGCTATAGCATACCGTATTTTCGCGTGTATAACCCGCACCAGAAACCCAAAAATTTCAGTGGCAAAGTGGAGATGGAGATAATACGGGGTTTTTTTTTTCTATAGTGCTGCTTCACAGCAATGCGTGTTGTGCTGTGAAGTCCCTTTACAGTGTAGTGAAGGCTACGGAGGCAGTTTCCGCAAATTCGTGTCGCTCCGCAAGTAGCCCGGCAGCTTACGGCCGATTTTGGTTTCGTTTGCTTGCATCGTTGAAGCATTTAGAAAAACATTTGGGGAGAGACAATTTCATTGTTCAGTGTAAAATCTAACTGTCACACCACATTTTCTCGCAAATCGGCAATGTGGATGAAACTCCTGTTTATTTTGAAATGCCGTTTGACACAATGAATGAGAGGACGGGCAGCAGTTCGGTGAGCGTGCTGACCGGTGGGAACACGAAACTGCGCATCACAGTCTTGCTTTGTGCCCTCGCCGACGGCACGCAACTGCGACGTACGTCATCTTGAAAAGAAAAACTCTACCAAAGATTCATTTGCCTGCAGGTGTGGTGGTGCGCGCACAGGAGAATGCGTGAATGAACAGTGACTTGTTCGTAGACTGGATCAAGACGGTATGGGAAAAGAGGCCCGGTGCGATGCTCGCAAAGAGGTCCATGCTCATTCTTGACTCGTTCCGCGGCCACACAACTGAGGAAGTGAAGGACCGCCTTTCACGCAACGGAACCGACTTAGTTGTTATACCCGGTGGAATGATGTCAATGTTGCAGCCTCTAGATGTGTCGATTAACAAGCCCTTCAAAGCGCGTGTCAAGCGCTATTACGCCGAGTGAATGGCCAAAGGCTGCTATGACTTGACGCCGACAGGACGAGTCCGAAGGCCTGATATTGCCCTATTCTGCAAGTGGATTGCCGAGGCATGGAAGGCCATTCCAGGTGAGATGGTGCGAAAAAGTTTCAAGAAATGCTGCATCACAAACAACATGGATGGAACCGAAGATGACCTTGTGCATAACAGTGAGGACTGCGGCTCAAGCGATAGCTCTAGCGAGAGCAGCGACAGTGAGTGAATTGTGAATGGCCTTGCAGACAGCGTATTCTGCTTGCTAAATAAAGCTTTTTCTGTCTACATATGTGTTATGTTGCTTGAGCAGTAGCTTTTGTACAACCTTTCCTGTATATCAAATGTGCGGGCAATACACGAGGATTTTTTTTTTCTTTCTCAGTGAGCTGAAAGTGGGGGTGCGGATTATATGCAGGGGCGGGTTATACGCGCGAAAATACGGTACTGTACATCATTATAGCATTGAATACAGGCACACACAATATCGTCCATCCTTGCTGGTTTAAAATTAAATGCAACTAACAAAGTGCCCTGAAAGCACGTCTCATGTGGAAATGATTTCTTTTTCCATACAATTTACTTCAGGTTAGATTTTAGGCTCTAAGTCACGTTATGCTACAACCAAAATGAATGCGCGCTCACTTCCCCTGACATTATTGCACAACAACCATACAAAAACTCAAGGTGCATTTTCTCTGCCATCATCAGGTACGGTATAAAGTCTGATTTAATAATATTGTACCACGCATCATACCTTCTACATCCAAGTGAAAGCGTGCGGGAGCTGTGTAATGTTCCAACTCAAGAAGAGATCAATCGCATCGACCATCTATGTCCCACAAAAGCACTTGAAGGAGGGCAGGACTGGGGAACGAGCTGCTTGGGCAGGAACTGCCTTTGATCAAACAGCCACAGATGCAGGCTATCTTAAAAGAGATATGTTAGTACGCTACTTACACCTTCGTACTAACTGTAGTACTTGCTGCGTTCTCACTGATTACATTGCACTGAAGCGACAAACAGCACGAAAGTAGCTTTGCTTGCTACCATATGCCTTACTTCAGCATGCTATGGAGTGATGCTAAATCCTAAATCGCATTATACCAGAGTGCGATGCTAGCCTCACTGCAGCTAACATTTCCATTTGTTGATATAGCATCAATTTCGCTGACCTAGTGACAAAACTCAGACATTTCTTTGTTATGGAAAATGTGGAGACATACCTGAACAAACAGCTTGAGGCTCTGTTTGCGTAGCAATTGTTGACAGAATCTTCCTTTCGTTTGCCTGTGATTCTTCATGACGAGTTAGTAGTCCCACTTGAACCGATATATCCTTCACATGGTTTTGTTTACACACTGGCTCGGGTGAGATTTCTACACCTTGTCCAAAATCACAAACCAAACGAGGTGCCGCCTCACGTACTTGCTCTGCTACGATGCCATTCTGAAATAAATTGCATTGAGTTGTAGTGAGTAAAAATTTCAAAGGTTACCACTGAGACAAAAAAAAAAGCGAAAGCCCTCTTACATTATCAGCCCGCCTGCAATGACTTTTTCTTGAGGTGCACCCGATGATTACGTCTCCAGAGAGCAACTGTCTAAGCTTCTGAAATAGAGTATGAAAAGGCAAGTTATGGCAATTAAATTATGCACGGCTTTTCAAGAAATGTGTCCAGCATTCTTAAAAAATCAGGAAAATGCAGTATTTGCTTGTTCTCTTAGCACATGCTTTTTGTGTAGCGGCAGGCATCTCAAGATGATTGAAGACATTATTTTCAACAGCAATTAAAAAGATAATCAACTTTTTAAAAATGTGTGCTTTTTTATGGTGCAAGGGCCATTTGATGGCCAAAGACTGCTAGGTTATATACAAGAGATGTGAGCAATGATTATAGTAGATTGCTGTATAAAGGCCTTAATATTCCTCATGCAAACGTGGGTAAAAATATAGAAATCATGACAGTGACGTGAAATGTGTGTAGCGAGAATGTATGGTGGAAGGTCCTGATAATAGAACCACGGCAGAGATGTAGACACCACAGCAGCGACCTCTCTTTGCAGATTGTGCTTCAGGACGCATGGGCATATGACACGAGAAGCACACTATTAATTAAAAAAATGCAACAATAATTTACACACAAAAAAATTAGGGCATTCTTAAGTTTCGTCTTTAAGAGTTCAGCGCAATAACGGTATCCTGTCTGTAATGCGTACTTCAAACATTTAGTGATGATCATTTCAAACTTGCTATGCACTCACTACGTGGCCTTGAGGAAATAAGTGCAGTAACACGTGTGCATTTCGTAGCGGGTCCCTGGCTTTAAACAATGAACTCATTGTGATGATCACATGTTCTTACACCCAATGGCACTGTACGCTTGTACCCCGTGTTATTACTGCAATATTTCATCTTATATTGCGAATAATGTATGTTTTCGTAAAGCATGAAAGTTGCTTTCACTGCATTTCCATGCAGAGTAAGTTATTTTCACTATATTCACCAGCAGACGTGTGGCTCTGCGGTGAAACACCCGCTTGCCACGCGACCGACCTTGATTTAATTTTAACTCAGACCAAGAATTTTTTTATTATTTATTTTATTTACATCATTTTCGATTGTTCGGTCACACACAAGGTGATAATTTCTCGGTCATGCACAAGATAAATTTTTGCTCACAATTTGCGTCGCCGATTGGGATTTGGTTTCCTGGTCGTACCCGTACACCCGAGACTCGTCACCGGTGATAACGGTGCTCATGAAGTTAGGGTCACTGCTCGTGAAATCCAGCATATCCTGTGCGACTTCAACACGAAGTTGCGTTTGCCCCTTCGGGAGCAGTTTCGGCACGAATTTCACCGCAACTCTCTTCATGCCCAAAGTTCGATCATAACGGATTGTGCAGAGAAGGTGCCGATGCCCACCTCTCCCCCAAATTCCCAGATAGTCACACGACGATCCCGCATCACCACAGAGTTCACTTTGGCAATGGCCTGGTCATTTGGACAAGTTGATGGTTGACCGGAGTGTGGCTTGCTCTCTACTGATGTGTGGCCTTCTTTAAACCAGTTGTACCACTCCTGAATCTATGTGCGGCTCATAGCGTCGTCAACCAAAGCCGTCTTTATATTCCGAATGATTTCCGCTTGCCTGTTGCTCAGTTTTTGGCAAAATTTAATGCAGTAGTGCCACTCCAGTCGCTCCGCCATTTTTCGTGCGAAAAAAAAAAAAAAAGACGACGTGAGCACGGTGCAATACCTCCCTCAAATGCTGCGTCCCTGTGACTGACGCTATCGGCAGGTGGGAAAACCTTCACGCATGTGCACGAAGGTTCAAGGTCGGCTGTTGCAGGCGCGCTTGTTTCAAATCCATCAGGTGCTCGCAAAAGAAAAAAGAAAAGAGGTCGAACACTTTTATAACAGACTTCGTATATATAACACACCTCTAACACACCTCAGAGGGGCACCACGGGTCCTTATACGACCGTCAAGGCAATCCGCCTTTTTCCAAGTTTTTGTGCATTTTAGAGGATTTGGTAGAGTGTCCACCCTGCATTTTTAGATATGTTTATAATTTTTTCTAGACCTCACACTCATGTTTCATCTTCATGTTCATGTTTGCTGGAAGTATAGTCGGACTAGAAAGAATCTTTTGCCTTACAATTCCTCCCATTCCAAGCTGGTAAAAAGAAGTGTCGCCAATCTTTGTCTGACAAATGCTGTTACTAAGAGCTGAATTCATAAAATTCAAGATAGCATGGTTTAGCAGCGAAACAGACTTTTCTTGGCAGGCTACCTAAAGTTGTTAAAAACCTCTGTTGCTAAATATGGGTTTAAGCGCCTCAATGTAAAACACAGAAGTGACAGTGGTATTGGAGAACACTGAAATGATAGAGGTGTTCGAGAACAGAAGAATATTGTAGTTATGCAGTATGTACATGACATTTCACCAAGAATGAAAAAGGCTGCGGCCAGGATCGATGTCAAACTAGTCTGTTCTGCACCCAGCAAACTCACAGGTCCTTGCAAGAGGGTTGTGCAGCTCAGCACGATAAGCAGAATGTGTGACATAAAACATGTGAAGAAATACTGAGCATGTAACACATAGGTGGTGTATGGCATCCCTTTAAATTGTGACGAGCTTTGCATTGGACAATCTGGTCGATGAGTCAACGTTCAATTGAGGGAGCATGAAAGTCTTCTACCCTCAGGCACTGGTGGTAACTTGCTCTTGCATTGCAAGTTGTGTGGTTGTATGCCCCTGTTTGATAAGGTGACAATTTTAGGTAAGGCTAAGATGCAGCGTGAACAGGAGATTATTGAGGCATTCCATATCTGGAAACTTGGTGCAGACAGATGGGTTAGTGCAGCTTCAGTTCATCTCACCAGGAAAGAATGTTTGTTTTTAGAACAGAGGTGATTTGCTTAGATTAGCTTGCTTGGTTTTTTGGTTCGTTATCTGCACATGCATTGTATAGACCTGGGAGGAATGTTTTATTTCTGAAATAACATCAGTTATTAGTGCCACGTCTCTTTTCTCTGTCTCTGCCGCTCTGATTTTTCTGATTTCGATGTTTTTTGGCTTCTTTTGTGGTAGTAGTAGTAGTATCAGTAGTATTTTTATTTACAGTAAGCCGAATACAGAGCTCACTGCAGGGGCAAAGGGCTAAAGGCGAACAGCCTGACAAAGGCCCTTGTCCCTCCGCAGTCCGTGACAGTGCAAAGCTTAAACAATATATATATTCAATACATTGGTTTCAAGCAACCTGAAATTGTAAACACAAAATTCAAACATAAATGGCATAACAAGTTTACATAACACATTTTAAGAATTAGAGGTCACTCTCGTTATAATTCACAACTAAACAATATCAATGAAACAACTCAAAAACAGACACAGAATGCATGCGGATACAATGAATTCTGCTGTATACACTCGTATAATTGACATAGAAGTTTATGAACAATTTAAGCATTTGCAGAGGCATGAGACTCCATTACGTAGTTTCGATAGTGTAGACCGGTGGTTATGAATAAGTTCTTTATTTGTTTCTTGAAAGTCACACTACTAGCCCTAAAGTTAAGTATGTACCCAACAAGCAACCCTCCCAGGTGGTATAAATTTCTGGAGCCCTCCACTACGGCATCTGTCATAATCATATGGTGGTTTTGGGACGTTAAACCCCACATATCAATCAACAAGCAACCCTCTGTAACAGGGGGGAGGGGGGTTCAGACCCCCTCCCACGCTTAGTTGTGCATGGCTTTGCCGTGTCCAGGGAAAAGGGGATACTGGGCACTGAGCCGACACCAGGTGATCGGACCCTTAAGGCCCTCTGGCAGAGGCGACACACCCCTTTGGCCTCGACTTCACGTAGACGGCTGGGCTGACCCACCCACAAGAAATCGACAGTCGCCTTTTCTTATCTCTCTCTCCTTTCATCTTCGTCTTTATCGCTCACTTTTAAATGCGAAGCATTTCTTAGCGAACTTCGGCGACTTTGAGCGTGTCTGTCTGTCTGTCTGTCTGTCTATGTATCTATCTATCTATCTATAGCCGCCTACGACTTTTAGCTCTCCTGGCCGTTTCAATAATGGTATCGATACAAAACTTGGTATGGCATAACATGACTGTATGAAGAACATATTTGACTAGTCATAACACAAAAATCATGATATGTACGGCATAAATGTCATGATATACATTTCATGGTCCTGCAGCTCTTGCGGTAGTTTCGTTCACATGGCATGTTGCAAAACTGGTATGGTATGGCATGACTGTATGGCAAACACAAGCGACAGAACCTAACATGAAAATCATGACATGCGTGTCTTGTAACAACATGACTACATGCCACGCTCATGATGCGCTTGCAGCCGTTATGCTAGCGTCACATATACCAAATTTGGTATTACAGTAAGTGAATAGATGACGAAGGTGTGTGACTGGTGCAAACATGATAACCAAGAGATGCGTGTCATGTGAGAACATGACTACATGCCACAATCAAGGCGCCAATACATTTCGATGTGACGCAGTGCACATGCTCGCCGGCGTTCATGTTGTCGAGTCACGCCGGCATTGCCACGCGAGGCGCCGGTCCTGCCTTATACTGGCAGCAGCACCCTGTGCTGTGTTGCTTTGACGCATGCGTGTTTCAGCGCGAAATGCCGAAATGCAGCATGTCACATTTCACTCCGGTTGCCGTGGGATGCGCTGACGGATGCTGGTGGCGCCTGTCGTCAGACTATAGAGAGCTCACGTTTCGCCCAGAGTGCGCGCCCGTGAACACTAAATTGGAGTATATTGGGCCCTTCATGATGCACGCACGGCCACTTTGCCAGCTCCACATATACCAAATTTGGTGTTACAAGACGTCAATGGATGACGAAATATATGACTGGTGCAAACATGGTAATCCTGACACGTGTGTCGTGTAAGAACATGACAACATACAATGCTCATAAGGTGCTCGTGGTCGTTTCACTAGCTGCACATATACTAAATTTGGTATCACATGACATGAATAGATGACGAGGGTAAACGACGCATCCAAACATGATAATCATGACACAAAGGTCATGTACGGCATCATTTACCTCCACCTC